GACCTAGAGCCCTTAGCTGCTTTATCTCTCAATGCCATTGCCTCTGCTGTCCTCCCTTTTCTAGATAGTGATCTCTCACTCCACTTCTCTATGGTCCTGGAATTGTGTGTCTCTTCTTCTCAGATGGCTCCTTTAAAACCTAGCTGGAAGGCAAAAGTAACCTATCCCAGCCTTAGAGTACTGTGTACGTTATTTGTGTGGTCCCTTGATGACACCTAACAACAACAAACCCAGTCACTTCTTGGGAATTAAGAAGACTCTGGATAGAAAACCATATCAGATAAATTCAAGCTCCAACAAACTTACATGCAGAAACACACACACACAAACACTAACAAAAACCAAAAGAAAAATAAAACTTTCCTGACTCTAGTCAGAATACATTTTAGCAGTTTATTATGGTATAATTGACATGTAACAAAAATTGCAAATTTAAAGTATGTAATTTAACTAGCATAGATTTTTAAATTATGTAAAATACTAACGTTACCAGGTACTGTTATTTGGATACTATATTATTTGCATAACCATACAAATAATGTATGCATGAGAGTATATACCATGAACATATTGAAGATTATGGCCTCAGTGAATGGTTTTAAAAAAATAATATTTCTGGATAATATCAAGAGCATTGTTGCTCCTCATAAAATAGAAGATACCATGTATAGTTTATGCCATTGAAAATATTCTCTCCTCTTGTATTTTAGTAGGATGTTTCTTCTGGTGGGAGCTCCCAAAGCAAACACTTCTCAACCTGGAATTGTGGAAGGAGGTCAAGTCCTCAAATGTGACTGGTCTTCTAACCGTCGGTGCCAGCCAATTGAATTTGATTCAACAGGTAAATGTTGATGGAGTAGTCCTTTCCTTTCACTTGTACTATTTGATTTTTCTTTATTTTAGTTTAAATGTAATAATTTGATAAAATGTATATAAGGACTTGGATCCCCAGACAAAGTTACATATGAAAAATGGGCTATATGATAACTTTTCTACTATGGTTTGGGTGACTTGAGAAAAGATTCTTGCCCAAAATTAATTGGGAAAATAATGTGCTGTGGTTCTGATAACATAATTTTATCTGTAGGGACAAAATCATATTGTCAGTCTAGATTGTGGTAATAAGAACAATAGCATAAAGACGATGAGAAATTTTATGTCTGGTAATCATAAAATATATAAAATCTTATAAATATTTGTGTATTAGTATGAGTGTGTGCCACTATGAATCAGAATTGACTCAACAGCACTTAACAACAGAATGGGTATATACATATGTGTATGTATGTGTGAGGGTCCTTCAGAAAGTTCATGGAAATCAAGTTAAAAAATGAAATATTTTTTTCATTTGATTTTATTTTGGAGTAGAAAGAGCTCTGGTAGCATAATGAATTACAAGTCAGGCTACTAACTGAAAGGTCAGCAGTTAAGAAACTGTCTTAGGCTCTGTGGGAGAATGATGAGCCTTTCTGTTCCCATAATAATTTTTAGCCTCAAAAGCCCTATACAGGATTGCTGTGAGTTGAAACCAACTCTGTGGCATATAACCACCATCATCACCATTTGAAGCACCCTTGTATGCATATATGCATTTATACATTTATGCAAATTCTGGGATGATATTAAAGACATCATACATGAAGAAAGCAAGAGGTT